AAGCAAATTGACAGTCATACCTAAATGCTGGACATGCTTCACTCAAACATGTCAGTTGTGTGTACCTACCATTGTTGAGGTGTCATTAAAATATTTTTGGTGTGGCTGTTGGTCTTTGATGATCTTTGTAGCCAAAAAAGCTACTAAAGGCACTTAACTTCAATTTTTATGTCCACAAGGCACCCTCCAAGGTGGAAGAGTAGAAGACCGTAGAGTGATGTTTACTAGGCACTTGCACTTACCACAATTATATTCAAGCAATACTCTACATATATAAAACTGATTACATGATGTCTTTAACCCTTTACACCCTGAAATCAGTATGCATATTCTCCATACTGTTATCTAAACATTTCCTAATGTATCAAATTACCAGAGTGGACTTGATTCTTCTCAGATATCAGCTGGTAAAAGATAGGTACTAAGAGTAGATGTCCATAAGAAAAAGTACACATCATGAAAATAAATCACACTTACCGTAATTTCCGGTCGATTACCCGCGGGTAATCTGTTGATTTTGCATTAAATCCGCGCCACTGCGGGTAATAGGGAGGTGCGGGTTATGTGACAATTTTAAATTCTTCTGGAAGTTGAATTGAAAAAATTTCTCACCTACCTGCGTTTCCACCTCTCAAATGAATTTTATTGTATCAAAAGTGCCACAAAGCGGCACGAAAACATGATGCCAACTCGAGTTTATTTCACGCATAATTAGTTGCGTGACAAACAAATTTTTATCGGCACGCGTGAAAACAAAACCTTGATGGTGACAAAAATAATCCAAGGATATCCGGCGCATCAGTAACAAATTTCCAGTTTTCACTAGCTTGAGCTAAAGAGAATTTTCCCGTTTTAAGGGACTTGTTAGGCCCAGTAGAACAGGAGATATCGATTTTTTGAGAAATTGCCGACAGTAATTTTAAATCCCAAATGCATCACCAGAATGTTGAAAATAATAGGTGCGAAACTTAACTAATTTCGCGCTGAAAAAGTATTTTAACGACAAATGAACAATGGATATTGCTCATTACGCTCCTACATGCTATAAAAAGGTAACTGACTGAATAAGAATTATAAACCTCGATCATTCGCGATAAGTGTATCCACGAGTCACCAATTAAGTTAAAATGCCTGCTGTGAAACGCCCACGTCACAGTTTTACGTTTGATTATAAGCTTAGAGTAATAACTCTTGCCGATGAAATCGGTAATAGAGCAGCAGCAAGAGAATTTGAAATTGATGAATCCATGATCCGTTACTGGCGAAAGAAAAAGAAAGCCATGGCAAAACTACCAAAACGTCAGCGCACTTGCCGGACTGGTATCGCAAAGTTTCCCGCATTGGAAAATGCCTTGAAGGAGTGGATTGTCAGCCAAAGAGAAAATAGCCGTGCTGTCACTACCGTCATGATCCGACTGAAGGCGAGAGAATTAGCAAAGCAAATGAATGTTGCTGATTTTGTAGGAGGTCCGAGCTAGTGTTGCAGATTCATGCGCCGACATCGATTGTCTGTGCGAGCGAGAACCACGGTGGGCCAGAAACTGCCCGATGACTGGGAGGAGAAGGTTGCGAACTTTCACCAGTTTGTTTTGCGAAGAAAGGAGGAGCTTGGAATCCAAGGAGATCGTGTCTTCAACATGGATGAAGTCCCAATGTCATTTGATGCTCCTTTTTCCAGAACTGTTGATGCAACCGGAGCTGAAACTATTCCTGTGTCAACCACCGGTCATGAGAAAACAGGCTTTACTGTTGTCCTTGCATGCTCAGAATCAGAGAAGAAGCTCAAGCCAATGGTAATCTTCAAGCGCAAAACAATGCCGAAAGAAAATCTACCGGACGGTGTGGTGGTCCATTGCCACAAGAAAGGATGGATGGACAGAGATGGAATGGCTGTCTGGGGTGAGAAAGTTTGGCGTGCCAGACCAGTGTCCTTCTTTAATAGAACTTCGCTACTTATCTTCGACAGTTTCAGCGCACACACCGATGAAGGCATTCGAAACAATTACAGAACGGAGCACAAAACAACCACCGCAGTGATTCCTGGAGGCCTTACAAAAAAGTTACAACCGTTGGACATTTCTGTGAACCGTTCCTTCAAAAACCATGTTCGCGAGGAGTGGGAGAAGTGGATGTCAGAGGGAATCCATACCTTTACCGAAACAGGAAAAATGAGGAGGGCCACCCATGCCGAAGTCTGCGACTGGGTTGTGCGAGCTTGGAAGGCTGTAAAAGTTTCATCCATCAAGAATGGTTTTAGAAAAGCAGGAATTGCAAGTGGCACCGACGATGATGCATCTCAGACATCCGACATCAGTGACGATGAACAAATAACATCTACTGCAATTCTGGATCCTGTACTCGATGCGCAGTTAATGGACTTATTTAATAGTGACACTGAGGATGAAGATTTTAATGGATTTTGAACTGAACTTACTTTATCATTCAAGTTTTTAACACTCGCCCTGTATAATTTTACTGTTCAATTTTCACTGTATAATTTTATCAATAAAGTATAAGCTAATATTGACACAGAATTGTGCACATGTCTGAATCGTGGTAAGTGGTGGTGTGATTGATTTGTGATGTTTAGAATTACAGAGGCAGGAAAAACACATTGAGCTTTTTCCTATTCCCCAGTAGCTTAATTAGATTTTAGTTTCTACATTCAAACTGGGTGAGATTAAATTAATTCATATCATGTTTCATTATGGTTTGTTTACATGGAAAGTTAATGGTTACTTTAGCATCACAGATGTTTTGGTGGCCATCCCAATTAACATTCATAACAAAGTTTCATTGAACATAGAATGTTTCAAGAACTTTTAAATTCCTTTCTCTTCAATGTCATTTACTATTTCTGGAGCACAATTAACCTAAAAGGTTAAAAAATTAAAATGAGTTGTGCAGACCATATTTTACTTTTTATCCTCCTCTGGATATTTATCCAAATAACATAGTCATTATTAGTCTAATTCACTCTCATTTTCCACAGAGCTTGTGGAAAGATGATAACCTCAGTATTTCTTTGAATGAAGAAAGGAAAGCCCACCCTTTTACCACAGATAGTTTTTAGGACATCACTGGTACAAACCTGGTCTAATTTTTTCATGAAGGTGATTGTTCCAGGAAGGCTAACCCTAAAAATTAGTAGCAAAAATTTCTTGAACCTGCCCTTGTAGAAATTCAGTACATTTAAAGTATACTTTAAATAAATGATCAACCCTTGACTCTGATGATGACTTCCGCTCAGGTTGTCGAAACGTCAGTCACCACTACCGACAACAGTCCTTCTCAAGACTACACTCACCCGGACGATCAAACTACACTATAACATGTTACACCCAGGTTCAAACCATTTACTGTATTAGAACGTATACTTCATTTGAACTTAAAGTATACTTGAAGTATACTTACCAGAAGGATACCTTAAGTACACAACTTTTGGCCACCTAAAAAGTATACT